AACATAAAAAGTTGTTTTGCTTCAATGCAATGTGAAATTTGCAGATCCCATTATTCTGGTGTATATGAGCTTGTTGTTATGGGTTTTTCCAGAACATTTCTTGACACCTTTTTGACCTGCTGTCATTCTCAATGTTTCGATTTTCAAGGGTCCATAGAAACCTTCAGATAAATCTGTTTCATACTATGACATATGCTTTTTGTCAATTGCAACCACCTGGTCAACATTCAGTCCAGCAGGATGCTCCTCTGATTGAAGAGAATGAATGCATGTTTGCAGCTTTGTGGAACTTTTTTCTGTCATTTTTGTCAGATGCAATTTGTGCTCACATTTCCTTCTTTCAAATGATCACTTCAGCAGAATGAGCATTTTCATTTCTCATTTCCAAAAGGTCTTTTACCAAGGAGCTGCATATGTGGAAGCAGAGTGACCACTATTTCATAGCATTTTGATTTAGTGTGATGCCTACTAAGCCTCCTGGTCATCCATGCCCATAACTCATGAAGGTTGTGTCAGTAAACATATCTGACCACATGCCATTCCACAGGCCAGACTTATGATGCATGACATGTTCACCCTTCATGAAGTTTGTAAGTATCTCAGGGTGTAGTCACACTGTTGATTCAAGATAAAGCAGGCTGTATCTTGCATAGTGAATGTGACCTGCAGCAAAAAAAATAAGGCATCTTTAAAGCTAATGCAAACAGGTGTAGTGGCTAGTCTGCCTCACAATTTGGCCTCACAAATATCATCATAATTAGCACCGGTTTGATGAATTTGTCCATCCAAAGTCTTGCGGTCCTGTTGATTGAAGCTCTGTTCTCCAGTACCTGCTCAAGATCAGCGTAATTCTCAATACTCTAGAGAATTTCTCACACAACTTTCTTTGCAATGAGCCAAAGTGCTCTCACATTCATAGGAAACTTTTTTCCTACAAGTATTGTGGTCACTTCTCCTAATGCTCCTTTCCTAATCTTGTAATTTGCTGTCAGTCATTAATGTATCCACACATAAAAAAAAAAACTCGTGAACATGTGCGTGCTGTCCAGATGAGGAGCCAGGTCTACAAATATGTCAGGGTAAGCCCATTTAACGTTGATCATAACCTGACAGAGTTGTTGGTCAGTAGTAAAGATAGTTAATTTTACATGTTTTGTACACAGGCCTTTAGCTGCTGAAGGATCTGAGGAGGTCATGTGAGTTATTGGACAATAGATAGGTTTTGTTAGAGGCATCATACCTGCACCAATCTCTCGTGAAAATTTTTTATTAAAGTTGCCAAATTATGGTGTCTATGGATCAGTTGCTATACTTTTGAGGAATGTGAAATCATTGTTATACAACCTCAGTAAGGACAACTGTTGCTTTGCAAAGACTTTCAAAAGAAGAACAGATCCTTGCAATGTGGGGATAGACATATCTGGCTTTTTAGGACTGTTTTAGCACTGAACTGGGACTTAAAATTACCTAATGTTTACTTTCTTGCTTTCTTAGATGCTATATAAATTTAATGTCCTGATCTTGCACTGCTAATGGACCAACAGCAGTGTATCTACCTGCATTAGCAATAGAGCCAGAACATGAGTACACTGCAAGCCATTTTGAGATGAAATATTGACATCATAGTTATCAGCCAATTTACTCGTGGCTGTTAGTAGCTAACAATGTAGCAGATGCTTTGAACCTCAAGGTTTCATTGTAAGAACAAGTTGCACTAAAGTCATAAAGTGCTTCAATAACAAATTTCTCTTCTGTTAGAATACCAAGAGTAAACTGTATAGCTATAGGCTGATGTGTTACAGTGCTTGTGACCATGTTAGCAATAAGCAGTGTAGGCAGACTCAAATCAAACTTTTTAAACACCTGGCAAATTATAGCCAATAAAGTTGAGTTCAAATCCTTCACAGCAGTGGACTTGTAAATTCCTGTTTTGTAGACATTCAAAACATTCTTTCACTATTTGTTTTGCTATGTCTTGAACCTTTTCAGCAGTATCATCATCATCTTCCACAAGTCTGACTACGTTTGAATATAAAATATCTCATTTGCTAACCTTGAGGATGATAATATTAACAATTCATTTTCAAAATGATCAACAAGAAACTTCCAACACAACAATAGAGTTCCACTGTGTTCAACATATGGGTTGTGCAGTTCCACAGATATCCATATGCAATACATTTACAACTTTCTCAAACCACTTCCTAAGAAGCATGGTTCAATCTTGCTTGGAATGCTTTTGGTACTGCTGTTTTAACTGAGTATGATACAGTGAAACACATATAACAATCTCTGCTGCATGTGGATCACTCATGGTGGCCTGCAACCTTATCTGAACACTAGATGCCCACTCATCTCCATGTTTAGTTCATATGTTCAAAATGAAACTCTCAAAGCTACAAGGAATCATCATGGTTGACTGTTCAATAAAGCTAGCCCTGTATTCTCTTTGTTGGGTTCATTTCTACACATTTGAACACAAAATAAGCAGTGCTCTCTGAAGGTAAATGGTAGACTTTTAGATCTATAGGAACATATAAAGGTTGGGGCTCACTTGCAGAACAAGCTTGCTTTTTGCCTTGTCTTTTAGTGATCTGCTTATGTGTGCTGATGATGTATAGGACAATACATAATTTCTGTGACAATGTATCTGAAAATTGTTGTCCTTTTCAAACTCGTCCCCCAGTATTCAACGCCCATTTGTCAGAATTTAAAATAAAATATATATATGTATAACTTTCCTTTTTGCCTATTGTCAAATGGAAAAGCTTTTAGTTATATTTCTTAATAGTATAAATATGTACTATGTTGTTGTTGGGCTTAGGATTTTTCTACAGTTGGTGTCTGTGACCTATTAGCGATAAATTTAACCATGAATAAACAGCACGCACTTCACTTGGAGAAACGAAGCTCATAAATGACACACGACTTTTAGGAGAACTGTATTTGATCTTTAAGCGTGAAAAATTTTATATTCTCAATAGTAGTCTAAACACACATTTAAGGTGAACTTGTGGATAGACTCTGTTAAAATGGCATGTAGTTTCTTCTTCAATGTTCGTAAATGTGTGCCTATGTATGGTAGAGAGATCATTACTTGTAGCTATGGGACATCATAGTTCAGTGACCTGGCTAGAGGCCATTTTTGAATGGTTTTATTGATTGTAGAATCTGTGAAGTTATCTAGGAAGGAGTTAAGTTTTAAAACTGATTTTAGCCTAACTAACTCATGTTGTAAAAGATCACAGGAACTGATGATTCATTGTGCATGGGACGTAAGACATTTCTTAAGGTTTTCTTTGAAATGTAGACGAACAAAACTGTCAAAGTTGGTGTATAGACCAGTGTAGGTGAGTTTTTGGTTACAACCAACATCAAACTTTCCTTGTTTGTTATACACTTGTGTGCCAAGAAAGGGCAGAGCAGAACTTTGTTGGTGTTTACAGGTGAAATTAATGTTCACTTGTCTAGAAGCACATATATTCTACAAATTTCACTAATTGATCTTCATTTTTGAGTGCTAAAAATGTCATCAACATAGTGATTATATTTGAACTCTGTGTGACAATCCTTCAGCCAAATATTCTCATGAAAGCATATGAAAACATTAGCCATACTGGCACAAAGCTAGACCCATACTGTCTGCATTGATCTGTGCATAAAATTGACCATTAAACTGACAGAGATTTTGTGGTGAATTCCATCAGTAGTCTGAAAGATTGTTTAGTGAGTCCATTAATATATTCCTTGTCTTTAAAAACAAGATTAACACAAAGGTTAATGGTTTCATCTAGGGGAAGGGTAGTGAATGTCTTTGGTTTAATGTCTTTATAGGTGTAATCAAGGTGTGACCATGACTACATTAGTTTTGTTTAAATTTAATAACAGTTTAATATGTTTGTTTTTTCTTGAAGTAGTTAAGTAGGGTTAAATATTAACAAATATATATGCAAGTCATTTTTAAGATCAGAACACGTAGTTAAATCGAGAAGATAACTAGAGACAAGTTTTAATGATTATACTGTGCTGTACATTACATTTATTTCTGTAAAAAGAATTATATATCTGAGCTTATTCACTTCTGTAAATGCTGTAGAAAGATTTTTTTTTTATTTTTGGTAATGTAGAATAATTTGATCAAAGTTTTGGTTACAAGTGCTTTGGTCTTTTCATGGCATTCTATAATTAATCTGTGCTTTGTATATATTTAATTAGTCCTCTATATTAACCTGTGCTAAGAAATTTAGTTTTGTTAGGGTAACATTTGCCTTTTGTACTAGGTAATCAAGACTATGGTAATAATTGTTTATGCTATTTGTGTAGTATTTAATCAAGACAATAAAAGTGTGTATATATTTGTGTGTGTGTTGTGTTGGCAAGCTGTGTCTTGTTAGAGAACAAAGGGTGCAGATATCTAGATCTTATGCTATTAAACATACCCCATACATTCTGCTGCATGTGTTTTATAAAAGTGGGAGTCAGTCATTTTTCAGTACAAAGTTTTTGTGGCAACAGTTGCTACTAACTGACTGCCTTTCCTGTTGTCAGTTATTTTGAACTGGAGATAGTTATATTTGAATCTTAGAGGTATCTAGTCTGTCCAATTAGCTCGTGTGCATAAGATAACATTTGGGTGGAAAATTCCAGTTTCTTCTATATTTGTATACATTTTTTAAACTGTTTCAGAGTAACCTGTTTGAAAGAAAAGCTGTATTTAACTTTTTTATATATCTGTGTAATAATAATGAAATTGTACCTCAAATAAAATTGAGGTAATGATGTCATCTGTTAAGAATTTTGCAAAACTGCATTACTTTTTATTGAGTATAAGTTTTCTTTATATATATATATATATATATATATATAGTGAAAAAATATATTCATATATTTGTATATTTCTGGTACAAAATCATTACTCTGTGATTTGTAGTTTGGAATGTGTTCTATGTGTAAGATATAATTCCATATTACAGAGTTACTCAAATTATTTTTTCATATAGGTCACCTTGATCGTGTAGTACAAGGTCTTATGGCTGAAGAAATCCTATTTGCTTGTGATGAAAATGTTACAACAATCACTGACCGAATGACGAATCCTGCTGTTCATTTTTTTCGTGGACTTCGTCATAGAAATTTAGCTGCCATTCGACATGCTGCACAAAGAGGACTTAGTCAACTTCATACCCAACAACAGCCACAGCATACACCTCAGTTTGGATTTCCTTATGATGGAATTGACATTTCATATCGTTCTAGAGCTCATCCACTTTTGATTCAGGGATTACGAACTAATCCAAAAGATCAAGATAGTCATGTTTTATGTTTTGATATAGAAGCTCTGATAGGTAAGTTAGAAATGCTTAAGTTGGATTTTTCTCCTGAAAAACATTACTTCATTACCTATGATATCATTTGATTAGTGAATTTATTTGATTTTTGAACATGACAAGAAAATTTAGGATTAAGCTGTTCTTGTTAGAATTCATATATATATGTAGTATGCACCTTCTGCTACCATCAGCTATGTTTGTTAACATATTTTCTTATAAGGTGTGATTGGTAAGTAAAAACATCTCTTGAAGTGCAATTATTTTTAAACATAGGTTGTAATGAAAGAAACTTTAATATCAGATTATTTTTACTTATCCTTGGAGATATTCTTGACATTGTAAAATTACAAGTAGCGATTACACATACACTAACCTAACAGTTTTTTGTTTTTTTTAATGTGTTGCTAATAACTAGGTTTATTTGTATAGGAGAAAATAATACATGTAATTGAGAAAAATATTCAGTCAAACCATTTCTTGCTATATCTTTAATTGTATTCCCAAATTTATTTGCATGTTATCGTGTATTACAATCAATGCATGCTAGATGGCATTGACATTGCTGTTTGTGCTAATCTCTATTGGATTTATTCTGAATTTCATATCATAAAGACTTTCATTTACTGTAGTTTCATTGAAGTAGTATGCATCTCACATAAATCCAGATATGTAACATTTATTTATTGAATATATTTTGTGTACAAATATAACAACTGATCACAAAATAACTTTTATTTCATTAATATATAAGTATAGGCTACCAAAAAGTGAAATAAAAACCTAAATTTGTTTGAGCTCATTTCCAAATTAAGCCTGACACGAAGGGGTTCAAGTGCCAATATGTGAAGTAATAATATAAATTTTCCTGTATTAGTTTATTTAATTGTAAAGCATTCATTCTAATTTTTTTAAACTGCTGACATTCTAAAGGAAGTGAATAGGAACTGGAATACATTCCTGTATAGCTTTTTTTAGTTAATCAACTCTACACATTAAATGGTATTAAACCACCACAAATTGATAAATTTGGGTATGCTGCATGAGCTGTTTTCAGCTTGTAGAGCAGTACCTGCAATTTGTATTTTGTTGTTTGAATACAAGTTAAGAGTATTGTAATGCCTGGTTACAATCATAAACTTGAACCTTGGGTATTGATCAAACAAACTTTTTATGGGCTTCACATGTATGGAATCACTATATTCCTTGTAGAACATGCTGTAGTCATGCTGCTTTTTATTGTCCCTACTGCACAAGTGGTAAACATGGCTTACTTTCTGACCTGGCCTCATTCTTCTTCTCACCATCTGATAGAAAGAGTCCATTATCTATGACTGTTTGCCTTCACAAATGCTTCCATTATCTTTTGACAGGGACCTTCTTTCAGTTACATGTTTATTTACCAGTTTTTGGCATGTTTTCAAAGTTTCCATTTGGTGGATGTTAATTTCTATATCCCCCTAATATACTTAATGCTTGCATTTTCATGTGTTATTGCTTCCTCTTCTATTTAAACAACATAAATGAAATATTCGGTAAAACTGTGTGATTATCAAAACTATTTCATTCTACATGACTGAAACTATCACAATCAAATAACACACTTGGTGCACCAAGGTGATAGTTGTTATGATATCTAAGCTACTGTATGTAAATTCAATTTACTACTGATAATTTCACTTTCCAAGGATATTCACTACCTGCCAAAATTTCAATATCAAAATTTAAATATTTAGTATTTAGTATTAAAATTGAATATTGCAGTTGTTGTGTGGTTGGCATGCTATAACATGAGTTCTTAAAATTATGCTGTGGTTGTTTGACTCACTCCTTGAACAAGAAGACTTGTGTGCCAGTGATTGTGAATGATAGGAAAATAAATTAAGAATGAAATAAGAATAATAACCAAAAATAAGTAAATAGTTTTAAAAGTAAAAATGAAGTAAATAATACTGTGGTGTTAATTCTTACCCAAAAATTGATTTGTAAGTGACTTAAATATAGTTGATAATAATTATAATTCACTTGCTCAATGTGGTTCACACCATAACATCTCTCTTTCTCTCATATGTACAATAAAAACAAAAAAAAAAAAAAAAAATTGGTGACCATGGTCTTCCTTAGATCTCTTCTTCTTGAGGCACAAAGAATTTCCAATCTTAATACATTCATCCATTTAGATAGACCATTTTTATAAGTAAGTTCTGTCTTCCATGGTCTCTTCTTCCTTCATTCTTTCTAGTTATGGTCAGACTTTCAATTTCTTCTTTCCTCATAACTTCTCCAAGTAACTTTAATTGTCTCTTTCTGATTTTAATCATCAGATTCTTCCTGCAACCTTTTCTTGGCAAAATATTTTCATTTGAGGTATGACTTGTCCAACATACCTTCATGATGCTCCTTAACCATAACTCAATTACTTCAATTCTCTTTTCCATATTTGGCAATATTGTCCAACATTCTGATGCATACATGAGAATTGGTGTAATATAGCAATCCAAAACTCTTAACTTCATCCCATAGAAATTTTACTAGTTGTCAATACCTTTTACAATTTCAGAAATGCATATTTTGCCATTCCTTTTCTCTGTTTTATTTCATGATCACATTTACCATCTGATGTTACCCTGCTTCCCAGATAGTTGAATTTATTGACCTACCTTATCTGTTCCTAATATATTTTGACAATGCACACAGGAATATTGTTGTTTTTTGTAATTACCATGAATTATTGTTTCCTACAGTTAATATTTAAACCCTTCTTCTCACTTTCACTAACAACTTTATCTAAATTGTTTTTGCAGGTTATCTTCTGAATCAGCTATTGTAAAACGGTGTTATCAGTGTAATGCAAGTTGTTCAAATTTTGTTTGCCAATGATCAACCCTGGTAAATCCTCAATCTCCCTCAGGATTTTTTCACTGTACAAATTAAACAATTCAGGTGAAAAGACACAGCCTTGCCTCACACTTCTCTTAATTTGGATGGATTTATTTAATTCATTTTCTATCTTCACTGCTGCAGATTGATCTCCGTAAAGGTTTCTTAAAATTCTCAAGTCTTTACCATCAAAACGTATCATATGTTGATACTTCAAATGATGATGCAAGCAAAATGTAAATGAACCAAGACTTTTTAACTGAAAGTCTAATTAGCCAGGAGTAATTATTGTAATGTCTCTACTTTATCTCAGTACACATAGAATTGGCATAATTCCCAGGTTCATTAGCCTCTCAGAAGAAGTGGCCACATACAGAGACCAAATGATGTGATACAGAATTTATTCAAATCACCTTTCATGTTAAAAGCAGTCTTATGTATGCTTTCATCATATAGTTTAACTTCCCATTATCCAGATCCAAATTGTTGAACCAGTGGAAATCTTGTAATGTCTCCAGACATTCATCTGTTATAGCTTCATTGTGAGTTACTGCATTCACTGTTTAAAAACTCAACACAGAGCCTTGGCATAGCTTCCTTACTTCATGGCAATCACCACTGGAGATGACCCTTCCTAATGCTCAAAGGAATCCAGTACGGAGATTACTTTATTTGATGTGTATCACCTGTATCTTTGTGGTGGCAAGTCACCATATTTTGACACAGTTAGCTATCTGATCCCACAAATACAAAATCATATTCAACCAACAAGTCACTGTGTTGCTTTTTCTAGATTGTTTATACAATCTTCATCTGACTTTAGGTGTTTTGGAAGCAGTGTACTTGCTATTGGCCATAATATAATAGAAACAACCTTTGTGTTTTTGCTACTGTTGGGTATTTCCACAAAACAACTGGACTTCATCCGTCATCAGGAAGATAACTGTCCAAAATAAAGCTGTTTGCTTTCTTGACATAAAACAATACATTTCCCTTTATAGCTTCTATAAACACTTCACACGATACTGCCACACTAAACTTCGTCTGTAATAACCATAGAACACCACTTGTGTATATGTAGGAACTGTTATTACATCTGTAGCATACACTTGCATAATACATTGTTCCTTGGCTCATTCTGGTTGACGTTAAACAACTCTCCCAGGAAATCTCAACTCGCTTGTTTCACAGTTGAACTGACAGATAATTTCTACATTAAGTCTATATGAAGGATGCCTATACCATATTTGTAGTTTGAGACAACTACCTTTAGTCTGTGAGAGACATTTCCTAGACAAAGTTAGAAATCTACTTTTTCTTTAATGTCTAGTCTATCATCATTTGCCAGAATAAAGTCACTAGTCATAGTGGTGGTCTCACATGGAAGGCTTGATATATTGTGAGTTTTACTACTCTTTTAGGTGTCAGCCAGGAATTCATCTTCTTGACCTTGTATCTTGACAAGTATGTATGTTCTCCACCCAGACCTGAGCTAAGCTGATCACTGAACTCTTCAGTGCAAGTTGTCTGCTGTGGTTCCTAGTGCCGGTAGCCAGACTTGGAGCTGTAACCAATAGCCTTGTCTCATTTGGTGATTGGCAAAGTATAGACAGTTCTTCTACCACTCCTCCATTAGGTCACAAGCAAAACAGATGCTTGAATAAGCATTATTAGCATAGGCTGTAGCATGTACTCTATGGCAGACTGGAATAGCCATACCCATTAACTGGAAACCTGTGTGGTTGAATCACAGTGCTAGATTGTGTGGGTGGCTGACTGGTTAACCATTGATATATTTCTTGCTGAACCTGGTGGAGGTTAGATCAGTTCATCTGAGATGTTGTAACAGCTGTCCCAGTGGGCTTTTTTTCTCTAATGAGTGGCTTGAAGTTATTACTTCATACTGGGCTGTGACTGAAAATATACTTTTCTTCAACTCCAAAATCTCAAATTTCATTTGTGTAATCTCTGAAACCTCCTAAATACATTTCAAGTATTTAACTGGTGTATTTAAGTGTTTTACACTCACAAAAAAGAAACCTATCATTCTAT